CCGTCTGTGCTGTCTTCCCCGGCCTGCTGTGACACAGCACCACCAACCTGGTAGCTTAAAACAACAGAACACACTTTGTTACAGTCCTGGAGGCTGGAAGTGTGACCTGAGGGTGTTGGCAGGGCCGTGCCCCCTCTGAAGACTGGGGGACGATTCCTGCTTGTCTCTTGTAGGTTCTGGTGGTCCCTGGCATTCCTTGGTTTGTGGCAGCATAACTCCAATTTCTGCCTCTGTTTTCACATGGCGGACTTCCTTTTTGTATCTATAAGGACAGTAGTCACAGGGGACTAAGTCTACTCCAGTATGAGCGATTGTTAACTGATTACATCTGCAGTCGCTGTTCCCAAACAAGGTCACGCTCACAGGTATCGGGGGTAAGGACCGAGGCATATCTTATTTGGGGGCACAGTCAACCCACAACACCATCTATTGGAAGACATTCGAAAAACTCCATCCAGGCATCCTCCCAGCAGTCAGCTTTCAGCCACTGCCCCCTGATGTGCCTGCCAGGCTGGACTGACTGCGGAGTATTAAGGAACTCAGCAAATTCTCCTGCTGTTTGGAGGAATTTTGTATTGGCAGTTTAAATGTTAAAGACTGTCTGCCACCAACAGTGATTTTGTTTTGTCGTAGTTAAAGTTTAGCCCTTCTTTCTGACAGGAGATAATACTAGCTGCCATTTGCTGCACACTTGCTTTGTGGCAGGCGTTTTGCTCGGCACCTGAAATATCTGCATTTAATCCGCATCACAAACATGTACTGTGGAGACTCTTGTTATCTCTGACCAGTGAATACGGGAATTAGTGAACAAGCTCAGAGATAACCCTTCATGTTGCTGTCAGTCACCATCAGGTCAGCCCTGACTCGGAACAACCTTGCGCATAAACAGAACACAGTGTTTTCTGGTCCTGTGCCCTCTTCATGATTGGTGGAATACCCTGGCATTTCAAATACCAGCAGGGCCACTCATGGTGGACAGGTTTCAGCAGAACCTCCAGACTAAGACAGAGTAGGAAGAGAGGACTGGCAATCTACTTCTGAAAACCAGTCAGTGCAAATCTGATGGGTCACAACAGAAACCCCTCACAGCAAGAGGAATTAACTTGACTTTTGCCATCTGTGTATCTCCCTTTCTGCCAGACGGGGTTAAGTCCTAAATCTTTGAAGGAAAGGGAATTTATGTGTCCCTTGCTGACCGTGATATCTTACCCTATACCATTTCTACAAATTATCTATGTCGATTCTGAAAGTGGTATCTGTATCTTATTCTTTCCGAACTCTAGCCTTTATGTCTATAAAATAATTCACCTTTCTGTGGGGCCTCCTGTTTGGGGAGGAAACATAGAATTAATGTAGAAGTTTGGGGAGGCCATCACAGAACTAATACAGAAGGTTGAAAAGGCTGTCATAGAATTAACATAGAAGGTTGGGAAGGCTGTCATAGAGTTAATACAGAAGCTTGGGAAGGCCGTCAAAGAATTAATACAGAAGGTTGGAAAGGCCGTCACAGAATTAATACAGAAGACTGGGAAGGCCATCGTAGAATTAATACAGAAAGTTGGGAAGGCCGTCATAGAATTAATACAGAAGGTTGGGAAGCCAGCATAGAACTAATAGAGAAGATTGGGAAGGCCCTCAAAGAATTAATACAGAAGGCTGGGAAGGCCGTCATAGAATTAATACAGAAAGTTGGGAAGGCTATCATAGAACTAATCCAGAAGATTGAGAAGGCCGTCACAGGCAAAGAAGTCTGAACGGCCTTACTAAGAACAGGGGTTATTATCAGATCTGAAACTACAGGCCTGAGCTTTCTGCTTTACGTATAAAGGTAAGCTAAAAAACTTAAATAAAAAAATAAAAGGATTATGTAATAATACAGAAACAGTAAAATGGAACTTTATAAAAACAGACACAATAAAGAAGAAATGAGTTAAAAGAAAGTTTAGAGGTAGTAAAAGAGAACCAGTTAAGGATAAGGAATGAAACTTAATAAGTTAATGTATAGTAGTCAGGCTGACCCACTGCCATGGAGTCGATTCTAACTAATAGCGACCCTATAGGATAGAATAGAACTGCCCCATAGGATTTCCAAGGAGTAGCTGGTGGATTTGAACTGCCGACCTTCTGGTTAGCAGTTGTGCTCTTAACCACTGTACCACCAGGGCCCTTAACTATCCTTTCTTCTTTTTCTGTCACAACTTCAGTCACATCAAAGAAGGGACATTGCATGGATGGCCAAATCTATCAATCATTTGCTTATTCATTACCCAGGGCATCCCCTGCGTTGAGCGGAATTCTGACTCACAGTAGGCATGCTTACTACAGAGGCCGTGGTCGGAATCTGTGTCTGATTTTTCTTCGACTTTGTTCTCCAGGACGGGTGTCATTTTAGGCTCCTGTGTTTCTGTCTACATCTATTAATCAGTAGCGCCAGATGATAAACAGCCCTCCCTTTTCGTTTAGAATATTTGACATTCACACATCTCCTAACTGACATGGAAAATGTCTGTAACTAGGTTTTCATTTGCTGCATTGATATTGGCACATGCCACCCAAGTGATTTCTTTGATCCCAGGATGACCTGTAAAGCCTGAATCAATTAGAAACTTTTCAGAAAATGACACAGTTTGTCCTAGGATGCCAAAAGCTCATCAAGAAAAGGTGAAATGAACACCCCAGGCCAGACCAGGGAACAAAAGTCATTGAGAACTGTTTGTTGTGAGATGTGAGTTGTTAAAATGATAGGAAGGGGAGGCTTGAACTGGGGATTGTGAACATCACAAGGTAAGAAGGGGTCGTTCTGTGATTATGTGACTTAGTCATAGCAGACCCCTTGTATTTAGGCTGGAAAAATCTGTTGTCTGGATCAATGATGTCAGTAGGCATCAATTGTCTGCAAAATGTCCTGAGATGTGTCACACGCTTGTCTTCTTATCCCCTGGCTCGCCTTGTACACTGGTGAGCTCCCCATCCTTGCTGACGCACTCTCGTCCTCTGGCCCCCCGGCACCCACTGTGTGGCTTCCCTCAGCTGCTTGCCCTGCTTTCTCTGCACTGTCAGCTCCTCCATCCAGCTGTTAGTTACTGGAGCCCCTCCAGGCTCTGTCCTGTACCCTCTTCCCTCCTCAGTCTGCACTTTCCCGAGGCCTCCTTCATACCCATGTGATCAGCCATGTGGTAGTAACATCCAAGGTCCTCTAACTTCCAACTCCATTTCCATCTGTCCACCAGACACCATCCCAGGATGCCCAAGTCCATTTGTCCATCTGTCCACTAGACACCATCCCAGGATATCCAAATCCATTTTGTCCATCTGTCCACCATACACCATCCCAGGATATCCAAATCCATTTGTCCATCTGTCCACCAGACACCATCACAGGATGTCCAAATCCATGTTGCCATCTGTCCACCAGACACCATCCTAGTTCACCTCAAACTGAACATACCCTAAACCACACTCATCATCTTCTCCCTCAGATACGGACTTTTTTTGGCTGATTTCCAGTGAGTGGCACCTCACCTGTCTAGTTCTATAGCCAGAAATCTCGAGTCATCCGTTACACCCTCTTCCTCACTCCTTTCAATTGCAACATCATCACCTTAGTTCGAACTACCCTTAACTGTCAGCAGGACTGGGCAATAACTTCCCCAAAAATCTCTCCACATGTATCCTCTCTCTTTTATTCTTTCATACTTCAGCCGGAGTGATCTCTTCAGAATGCGTATCTAGTCATGTGACTCCCCCTCTTCATTCTGGCCTCCCTTGACCAAGTCCCTGCCTGGTATGGTCTCTGCCCACTTCTGGCTGGTCTCAGTCCACTCTCTGCTTCATGATCTACCTGAAGCCACAGGATGCTTTTGTTCCTCAAGATGTAGCCATTGTCACTCCTTACACTGACCCATCTCCTCCTCAGGGAAGCCTTCCCTGAAGGCCCAGCCTAGGGAAGGTCCTCCTACACTGAGTTCCTAAAGCACTGTGCGGCTATACTTTGTAGCACCCGCCTCTGTTTTTAGTTAAACATTGATTTGGGTGATTATTTGTTTAGTGCCTGCCTCTCTCGGTGGACTGTTAGTTCTGTGAGGGTAAAAACCATGTCAATTCTGCTCACCATTTTCTCTCCGGTACCATACACAGGCCTAGCTTATTAAAAAAAGAAAAAAAGTTACCATTGAGGAGACTCCAACTCATGGTGACCCATGGGTGTCAGAGTAGAACTGTACTCCATAGGGTTTTCAGTGCATGGTTTTTCAGAAGTAGACCTCCAGGCCTTTCTTCTGAGGCACCTCTGAGTAGATTCCAATGGCCAACATTTCTGTCGGCAGCAAGCATGTTGATCCTTTGCACCACCCAGGGACTCCCACCTGGCTTATAGTAGACATTTAGTAAATGTTCAAAGAAGGAATGAAAGGAATACATGAGTCTTAGAAGCCAAACCAGCTATGTTGATTGTCACATTACCCTAGAGTAGGGGTCAGCAAACTATGGCTCCAGAGTCAAACCCAGCCCTTCTGATTTTGTTAATAAAGTGTTATTGGAACCAGCCATGCCCGTTCATCTCCATGTTGTCTGTGGCTACTGTCCCACTGTAGCAGCACAGTTGAGTAGGAGCAATAAAAATGTGGCCCACAGTGCTGGCAATATTCACTATCTGTTTATACAAGAAGTTTGCGAACCCCTGCCCTAGAATCCTAGTGAGCTCAAACTGAAAAAGGGATCTCTGAGGAGGGAAACAATACTGTCTGAGCTAACTTAGGCTTCTTTTGTTAGGTGTTTGAAATGCTCATTAATCCTGGAGATAATGTCATCGTAAATGAACCGGTTTATTCAGGAACACTTCAAGCTGTGAGTACCCATTTTTACAAAAGGTACCTCTCTTTCTTAAAATAAATGAGAAGAAATGATTGCACATTTAGAATTATCTCCGTCCACCAAAAATAAAATGGCGTCTTCCATCAGTAAACAGGAGAACCCTAAATTATGTACGTATATACGTTAAATGAACCCTTGTGCTGTATGAGTACATTTTGTCGTGGTGGTGGTTATACTCACAATTACAGTTCATTACAGGAAGGACACAGTAAGATCAGTAAAGGGAAAGGCACAGAGGCTGGAGGAAACCAGGTGCAAGCTCCAGATGGCCTCTCCCATTGGAGTCACATGGGATGCGCTAATTCCCCCAGCACTGGAAATCCAAATGTGTAGATGCTAAAACTACCTTGTGCAAAATCATGTCCAATTTTCTTAATATTTTACTTGAAATGTGACTTAATTTACAAAATCTTAGTTTTTTATTATCGTCTTTTATTACCATCAGCACAAGTACTGTTGTTGTTGTTAGGTGCCTTCGAGTTGGTTCCAACTCATAGTGACCCTGTGTACAACAGAACGAAACGCTGCTCGGTCCTGCGCCATCCTCACAATTGTTGCTGTGTTTGAGCCCATTATTGCAGCCACTGTGGCAGTCCATCCCTTTGAGGGCCTTCCTCTTTTTTTCTGAGCTTCTACTTTACCAAGCATGATGTCCTTCTTCGGCGACTGGTTCCTCCTGATAACATGTCCAATGTACTTGAGACGAAGTCTTGCCATCCTCACTTCTGAGGAGCACACTGGCTGTACTTCTTCCAAGACAGATTTGTTCCTTCTTCTGGCAGTCCATGGTTTATTCAGTATTTGTCACCAACATCGTAATTCGAAGTCATTACTTCTTCTTCAGTCTTCGTTATTCATTGTCTAGCTTTTGCACACACATGAAGCAATTGAAAACACCATGGCTTAGTCCTCAAAGTGACATGTTTGTTTTTTAACACTTTCAAGAAGTTTTTTTTTTCCAGCAGTTTCATCCAATGCAATACGTCATTTGATTTCTTGTATAACTATATTATATGTCAACTTAATATAACTATAAACTAGTATGGCATAATTAGGACTATCCATCCAGTGTTATATTTATGGGACTGTAATATCCTGAGTGAGGAAGCTGGCTGTCAGGCTCTGCAGTGCACTGCTCAGACACACTGCTGAGGATTAGATTCAGTTGGGTTATACCATACTTTAGGATAAAGATGGACACAAAGTAGAGGTCTTTGGGTGGTGCAAAAAATTAACATGCTCATCTGCTAATGGAAAGGCCATTTGAGTGTACCCAGAGGCACCTTGGAAGATAGGCCTGGAGATCTACTTGTAAAAAATTAGCCTTTGAAAACCCTATGGAGCACAGTTCTACTCTGACACACATGGGCTCACCAAGAGTCTCAGTCGACTTAATGGCAACGGATTCTTTTTGTTTTGTGAGCGAGTTCTAATTATAATTAAGAAGCTAATCCAGTCAAAAGAGGCTAGGTTATGCTATGTGGAAAATGACCCCAATATCTCGGTGGTCACAGCTACAAAGGTTTATTTCTCACTCAGACTCACTCTCCATGTCCGCCTCAAGTCAGCTCATCTCTGTTCCATGTCATCTTCATTCCAAGCCCAGAGTTGGTGGAACCACCCTCTGTCTGGAACACTGCTGGTCTTAGAGCAGAGGGAGAAGAGACAAAGACAGCCGCAAGCTGGGTCGTAAAGTTTCTGCTTGGAAGGGACACACGTCACTTCTGCTCACGATTTATTGGCCAGGGCAGGACACGTGGCCAAGTCTGACACAGTGAGGCGGAGAAGTATGGTTCTTCCTCTAGGAAGGAACAGGGGGTGTTTTTGACCAATAACAGAATCTTCCCCAGGAGAACAGAAGGATTAGAACATACAACCTCTGCCCTCCAGAGCTTAGAGCTGAGTGAAGGTTCATGTATGTTTAAGGGAATAAATGAGAACGTTCTCAGTAACAGAGAAATCAGTGGCACTTAGATTTCATAATCATATCTGAATCTTGGGTTTTCTTTTTCTTTGTGTTCAACAGCTGCAGCCAATGGGCTGTAACATTATTAACGTTTCCAGTGATGAATTTGGGATTCTTCCAGATGCCCTCAAAGAAATACTTTCTAAGTGGACACCGGAAGATTCACAGAACCCCAAGATAAACAACCCCAAATTTCTTTACACTGTCCCAAATGGCAACAACCCTACTGGAACCTCACAACTGAGCGCAAAGAGGAAATCTACAAGGTATTTTATGAGAACGTGTCATGTGACTGTGTTCCTGTTGCGTTGTGACATTTTAGAAGAATACCGTGCAAGTTCCCATCTGCTTAACCTTCTGTTTTCATGGAAGATAATTTTTAATAAAAAGAAATCATCTATGCCACAGATCCTAATACATTTAGACACAATAGGTTACTATATTCTTTGTTTACTGTTGATGAGATTTTTCCTTTTCCCTTAATTGATGTTTTTATATAAAAGAAATATTGTTGTCCTGGTGTTCAATTTTATGAGGTTGTTTAAATATGACCTCAGGTTTGATTTTCATTATTTTGCGGGTGTTTTTAACTTGTCTCTTCTCCCTTGTCTTTGATGCCTTAGGTTACAAAGAAAATCTTTAAGATAGGACGAATTTTGCTTTTATAAAATCTCTTTCAGGTCCCCATCTATGATGCCCAACGTTTCACTATTAAGAAAACAAGTACCAAACACATACTGAGCAGTGCAGAAATCTTTTAAAAATAAGATGTGTGCCTTTTGTGAAGTCTCTTTTATGTACCTGACTCTGCTCCCTAGCCCTTCACTACAAACCTCTTTTTAAAATGACTACCAAACACATGTTAAGCTATATGGAATCTAATCACATAAAGTGGAATCATAAGAAAGATTTCATGTATATGTGTGTATATGTATATATATTCACAATATTGTCATATTCTTATTTTGCACGCTCTCCAGGGCTCTGTCCTGAGTTTTCTCTTTATACCCCCCCCGCCCCACCCCTAACGGCCTCATCTACTTCCATGGGTAAACCTTCCAATCTCCAGAGTGATGGTTCCACATTGCCTAGCCCTCACCTCGCCCCTGAATTCCAGACTTCCGTGTCCAGCTTCCTACTTGATATCCCCAGTAGATGTCCAGTAGCACTTCAGACTTAATGTGGCCAAAGTAAAACTCGTGATTTTCCCCAACCCCACCCATTCTCCATCTCCACAATCTTCATCTCTATAAACAGCGCACTGTGAATAAACAACCAGAAAAGCAAACCTGTTGCCACAGAGTCGATTCCAACTCATAGCAACCCTAGAGAACAGCGTAGAACCGCCCCATAGGGTTTCCAAGGAGCAGCTGGTGGAGTTGAACTGCCGACCTTTGGGTTATTCCTCTTTCCTTCTCTCCTCTCCCACCGCCCCATTCAGCTCCTCCTATGGACTTTGTCACCAAGTCTATCCATTACGGACTCTGAGCCACAGCCTTCTCTCACTGCTCACAGCAGGGGCCTCCTGATGCCCCTCCCCTGCACTCCACTCTTGATCTCACAGTTCACTCTTCACCCCACACCTGAAACTTCCCTGCTGGAAGGAAAATGTAAAGCCAGTGTCCTCATCCCCTGTTCACTGTCCTCCAGTAGCTTCCCCTGCAGTTAGAATGAGATCCACATTGCTTCATCTGCTGTGCAAAGCTCAGTGATGTGGCCTTCTGTCCTCTGACCTAGCCTCCTGTTATCTTTGTTCCAGCCATGCCTACTCGCTCCAGCCACGCTGACCTTTCTAGCCCTTAAACATGCCAAGATTTGTTTCTCTCACCCTAGAGTCTTTGCTCCCACTCTTCCTTCAGTCTAGAACCTTCTTCCCTGATATTTGCTCAACTGGTTCCTTCGGATGCTCTGAACTCCAACCTTACCTCATCAGGAGGGGCTTCCTAACGATGCAGCCTGAGATGGCTGCCCTGTCTCTCTCTCTCACACGTCACGCCATTTTAATGATCTGCTTAGGACCTAAAACCCCGCCTTCTACTTTTCTTCTCTTTGTTACCCATCGGCTCATGTCCATCCTGTCTCCTATTACAGGAGACACCGCACATAAATTCCATGAGAACAAGCGTCTTTAGCGTCTTACTCATCTCTTTACCCTCACTTGTCTGCACAGTGGTGGTGGTAGCCGCTGTCAGGTCAGCTCCGACTCATGGCGACCTCCCGTCTAACAGAATGACACACTGTCCCGTTCCTGTACCCCCTTCGGGATCACTGGTATATTTAAATTCATTGCTGTGGCTGTTGTGTCAACCCGTCTCATTGAGGGATTCCCTCTTTGTCATGGACGCTCTACTTTATCAATTTTAGTAGATACTTGTTGAGTGAATGAATGACTACATCAAAAAAGTTATAATTCCAAATGACTCTAATTTTAGATGGTTCTTAAGAAATAAATATATTACTTTAACTTTCTTAGCTGGCAAGAAAATACGACTTCCTCATAATAGAAGATGATCCTTACTATTTTCTCCAGTTCAGCAAGGTAAGTGATGATGTGAACAAGATAAATTGTCAACTATTGTACTATAGTTGATTTTAGCTTGGTCACTAAGTCAGAACGAATCCCCTCTGAAATTGAATTTAAATAAATTATTATTAATTTGCTGTCATTGATGTTAGCTGCTGTCAGGTCAGCCCGTGACTCCTGAGGACTCCCTGTGTTACAAAGTAGAACTGCTCCATGAGGTTTTCCAGGCTGTAATCTTTATGGAAGCAATTTGCCAGGCCTTTCTTCCACAGAGCCACTGGTTGGGTTCGAACCACCAACCCTCGGGTTTAGCAGGTGAGTACAAACCACTTGCACCACCCAGGCTCTTTATATTAGTTTGCTTCCACTTCAGTTTTTAGTCTGTTGGTTTTATTAAGGAATTTGTACTTTTCATTTTTGGTGTTACTGCTCTTTCCAGAAATTACTTACCTTCAGGGTAGTAGCTGGCTCTCTGTCCCATGCATTTCAGGGCTGATGGTCTTCTTGAACTCCAAATTCTAGCCATAGCCTCGTAAACATCATGCCGGGGATGTCGAATGAGTTTCATCTTGGGTGTCTCCGTTCGTCTCTGGGTAGTGGCTGTGGAAATGATGTCTAGAGTAGGATTAGGAAGCTGTGTTCAAGCTGAAGGAGAAAGGGCTGTGTTCCATGAATGATGTCCACCAGGGAGATAGGAGAAAGGCATTCCAGGCAGCCTTCCCCACGTCTGCCATCCTTGGCTTTTACCTCCTGGATCTTGTCTGCAGAACATGGGTTTGCAGATTTTTTCTCACCTTTCATGATTGCTGTTTCCTAGTAGACACTGTACTGGTGCAAACTCCTAATGCCTGATTCCTCAAAATCCAACACCATGCATTCACCATCTTTATTTGCTCTCAGTATTGCGGAGAATATATACTTGGATTCTGTCCTCCCTTTAAATTTAGTTAAAAGGAACAAGAACTCTTGGTTTCTCTGTAAGTTTGCCTGAGTATCACGTCTGCCTACCTACCCTCCATCCTCAGCACAACCACAGCCCCTTTCTCATTTCCATCTACTTCAGAAGAAGATATTGAAGTCAGTGTTCCACACTGACTAGATTTCCCATCTTCATCTTTATCTTTTTTACCTTTCTAGTTGGTCCTGAGGATCAGCACTATCTCTGTAAATTATCCTGAATACTGCTGCCCTTCTTCATTTTGATCTTGTCCAAACTAGTTTTTCTGTATCCTTCTCTCTAGCTGTTAATCCTGGGTTCCTATTCTTGGGGCAAGAAGGGACTGTTTGAGGTTTCCCTAAATTCGTAACAATAACATCTTGAGCAAATGAGAAATTCCTGTTGTGTGTGTGTGTGTATGTATTTGGCAGAAGTCATGAAGACAGGCAGATGCTCATAAGAGAATGTGAATCTCTGTTTCATATTCCCTTTTAAAGGGTTCAGATAAAGGGCATGGAAGAGACAATTGTGTTAGTCTCATCCCAATCCACGCCCTCTCCTCTCTATATGTAGTGTCTGTGCAGTGATTAGCAGAGTTCTCAAACCAACAGTATTTTTTCCTCCATTTTAAGTCCTGGGCACCAACATTTCTTTCCAGGGATGTTGATGGCCATGTCATCAGAGCTGACTCTTTTTCCAAAGTCCTCTCCTCTGGGTAAGGCCCCATGTCTCTAACTTAAGGCTCTGTGTGAAAGAGATAGAGACTATACCTCAGTATCTTTTAGTCCACATAATATTTTTCATTTAAGATATTTTTATTCCTCTTGCCTTAAAACACTAGTTTTTTTTGAAAATGTATGTATACATATATGTGTATATATATATATATATTTGTGCTTTAGATGAAGGTTTACAGAGAAAATTAGTTTCTCATTAAGCAATTAATACACATATTATTTTAAGACATTGGTTGCCAACCTCGTGACGTGTCAACACTCTCCCCTTCTTGACCTTGGGTTCCCTGTTTCCTTTTACCCAACTTTCCTGTCCCCTCCTGCAGTCTTGTCCTTGCCCCTGGGCTAGTGTGCCCATTTAGTCTCATATATATGGTTGAGTTACGTATTATTGTTTCTTTTATGGGCTTGTCTTATCTTTGTCTGAAGGGTAAACCTCAGGAGTGACTTCAGTACTGAGTTAAAAGGGTGTCTGGGGGCCATACTCTTGGGGTTTCTTCAATCTCTGTCAGACCAGTAAGTCCAGTCTTTTTTTGTGAGTTTGAATTTTGTTCTACGTTTTACCTCCAGCTCTGTCCAGGACCCTCTATTGTGATCCCTGTCATAGCAGTCAGTGGGGGTAGGCAGGCACCATCTAGTTGTGCTAGACTCAGCCCGGTGGAGGCTGTAGTACTTGTGGTCCATTAGTCCTTTGGACTAATTTTTCCCTTGTGTCTTTGGTTTTCTTCATTCTGCCTTGCTCCAGATGGGATGGGACCAATGGAGTATCTTAAATGGCCACTCACAAACTTTTAAGACCCCAGATGCTACTCACCTAAGTAGGATGTAGACCATTTTCTTTATTGACTATGTTATTCCAGTTGAGTTAGATGTCCCCCCAGACCATGGTCCCCCACCCTCAGCCCAGTAATTCAGTCTCTCAGGGGTCTGAATGTGTCCATGGAGCTTCCAGGACCTTGCCTTGGACAAGTTGTGCTGGCTTCCCCAGTATTGTATAATTGTATACTGTCTTACCCTTCACCAAAGTTACCACGTGTCTATGTCTAGTTAGTGTTTTTCCCTTCTCACCCCTTCCTTCCCTTGTAACCATTAAATATTGTTTCTTTCTGTGTATAAATCTTTTCATGAGTTTTTATAATAGTGGTCTCATACAGTATTTGCCCTTTTGTGATTGACTTACTTCACTCAGCACAATGCCTTCCAGATTTATCCATGTTGTGAGATGTTTTGCACATTCATCATTGTTCTTTATCGTTGTGTAGTATTCCATTGTGTGTTTGCACCAAAGTTTGTTTATCTATTCATCTGTTGATGGGCACTTAGGTTGTTTCCATCTTTTTGCTATTGTGAATAATGCTGCAATGAACATGGGTATGCTTATGTCTATTCGTATGATGTCTCTTATTTCTCTAGGACACATTCCTAGGAGTGGGTTGCTGGATCATATGATATTTCTATTTCTAGCTTTTTAAGGAAGTGCCATATCATTTTCCAAAATGGTTGTACCAATTTGCATTCCCAGCAGAAGTGTGTAAGAGTTCCAATCTCCCTGCAGCCTCTCCAGCATTTGTTATTTTCTCTTTTTTTTGATTTCTGCCAGTAATGTAAGGGTGAGATTGTATCTCATTGTAGTTTTGATTTGCATTTTTCTCATGGCTAATGATCACAAGCATTTCCTCTTGTGTCTGTGAGTCACCTGAATGTCTTCTTTGGTGAAGTGTCTGTTCATATTCTTTGCCCATTTTTTAATTGGATTGTTTGTCTTTTTGTTGTAAAGGTGTTGGATTTTCCCATAGATTTTAGAGATTAAACCTTTGTTGGCTATGTCATAGCCAAAATTTTTTTTCCCAGTCTATAGGTTCTCTTTTTAGTCTTTTGGTGAAGTCTTTTGATGAGCATAAGTGTTTAATTTTTAGAAGATCCCAATTATCCAGCTCAACTTCTGGTAATACACCAGTTTGATTACTAACATGAACACAGACTTTTCTTCCCTCTTTTCATCTCCAGTAGTCAAAGATACTAATTTACCATTAATCTGAAGTTGTGGTGAGACTGATCAGGTTTTTGAGTTGATACACGAAAGAGCACAGCTGTTGCATTTTTGTTACTAATCATAGATGTTAGCAATTCTTGGAAGGAAAATGCCTTTGTTTGGTTATCTCAATCTGTAGCCAGTGCTAGTAAGCTTACAAGTTGCTGGATTTGTCACCAAAATCTTAGGTTGGTTAAAGAAAATTCTCATCCCTTAGCTTCCCCAGTTTTGAATTATCACGTAATATCATCTTCCACTATAAATGCTAGCTCAGCCCTTAAGAGGGCTATAAGGGTAAAATTATGGAAGCCTTTGACTGTTATTCATACACCACCAATTCCTTGTTTTAATTTAACTGCCGACCAACTTACTGATTACAGCTGTGATAAATTATTATTGAGGGGACATCCAGATGTACCCTGTAAAGAAGGAGAATATTTTTGGACTCAGCACCAGGGTACGCTCCACTATTATTCTAATTGGTATGAAGGCTGTCTCAGATGCATAACCACTAATCAACATGTTCCCACCCTTTATTACCATGAACGTTTATGTAATTATTCACAGCAAGAACTGCTTTTTGAATGCCTGCCCATATGTGATAGTTCTTTACTTGAGACTTGGTTAACACATGCTAATTTTTCTATTTTGTACCCTCATTCTAATCAAGTGATATGTGCCCTATATAGATATACTTTTTTATATGGGGGTTCAAATTATACTCATATCCATTATTCTTTTCCTAAAGACAATTCTTACACCAGCTATTCCTTGTATTAATGGGTGGTGTATGAGGGGACAATATACTCTGGGATCTCTAGGATTGCCCCTAGACAGTCATAGCTATAGTGATACCTTACATTGGACCAGTAAATTAAAAGTAACGAACCTAGTGAAAAGAGAAACTGTAGATAGTCCTGTAGTAGAATATGCAGGGTGGGGATGGTCATTTTTTAGGGCTTTGATACCTACATATGGAATAAATCAAAAAAACCAAATCTGTTGCTGTTGAATTGATTCTGACTCTTAGCGACCCCATGGGACTGAATAAAACTCCTCCGTATGGTTTCCAAGGAGCAGCTGGTGGATTCAGACTGCTGACCTCTTGGTTAGCAGCCAAGCTCTTCACCACTGGGCCACCAAGGCTCCACATATGGAATAGATGAATTAAAAAAACTTTACAAAGTTCATCCATTATCATGGTGGTGTAGTGGTTAAGAACTTGGCTGCTAACCAAAAGGTTGGCAGTTCGAATCCAATAGCCACTCCTTAGAAACCTTTGGGGCAGTTCTACTGTGTCCTATAGGGTTGTTATGAGTTGGAATTGACTCGACAGCAAGGGGTTTGGTTTTTGTTTTTTATGGCTCAAATTGCTGATGAAATAGCTCATGAAATGGTGGCTCAACAAAAATCCTTAGTTTCTTTAGTTGAAGTAGTCTTAGATGTTTTATTGGCACAACAAGAAGAAGTTTGTGCAATAGCCAATACTTTCTATTGTACTTGGATAAATAGCACAGAGAAGTGGAACAAGATATTGATCGAATTTGTCAACAAGCTACTCGTTACATATCACTCTCTACAGACCCCTGACTTAACTGGGTGATTGCCTCAGAGAATTGAGTCTTGGGCTCGTTCCTTTTTACAAGGCATATTGAATATTTTAATTTTAGTGATAATAGTAACTGGCTTAATTAAATGCACTATTTTTTTGTGTTGCCGAGTGCCAACACTCTGGAACCAATCCAACTGCCAACAAATGATGTATGTGGATTCTGACCACTTCTGCAACACTGTGGCTGGCTCAGTTGCCTTGTATTAAACATTTGGGCTCTTTGAGGGGTACTTTCATCACGCTAGTGAAGAACCAGATGGTATCTGGTTAAATAGAGCCGTGAGTTTAAAGTACCTGCTATGGTTGCCATCTAAGAGCCACCTTAGCTTATGGCATTATCTTCTGCATGATCATTGATGTACCTCCTGTAATTCAATGATCAAAAAGAGGGATTAATTTAAGATTATATCAGGAAATTTGTAAATTCTCCAGCAATCAGATTTACCAGAAGAACTGATCGAACAGGTTTTGGTTATTGAATTACTGAACTGGCTGAGGTTAAAAGGTTTTTTTTTTTTTTAAGTCAAAGATCTGTTCTTTGAGGCAAAACACCATAGCCAAAACAGCTTGTGACTAGCGTGGGGTTGAGGTAAAAAAGAAATACAGCCATTAAGCATATAGGTTTCTTTAGTTAAAAGGTCAACTAATCCCAAGAGGTTTCTTTGTTCATAAAATAATCTACATATTGATAAGTCCCCTTTATGACGAAGCAAAATTGTATCCAATAGTGATGTTCCTGCTGTCTTTATCCTGGTAAAATGGTATAAATTGTATAATGAATAATCATTTGGTGGACTCAGTTTGGTCTCACCCTTGAGGCGGTAGCCTGTGTCCCTCACTCAAGTGATTTGTGTTGTTTGTCTGTCCTCTGAATAACGAATAACAGATTTTTCCTTTTCCTCGCAAATAACTTGTCTTCCATTTTAATTCTAGAATATGGGTAATTTAGGGAGAGTTGTTGTTAGTTGTTGTCCAGTCGATTCTGATTCATGGTGACCCCATGTGTGCAGAGTAGAACTACTCCATAGGGTTTTCAAGGAACAGATTGCCAGGCCTGACTTTCAAGGTGCCTCTGGGTGGATTTGAACCACCCACCTTTCAACTAGTCAAGTGCTTAACTATTTGCACTACTTAGGGACTCCTAATTTAGGAAGAGAGTTGCCTAGTTGCCTCCAGATAAAGATCCACTGTCCTGTCCTCTAACTGCAGTCAGGGATTTCTGCATACTTTATTTACTGCTCTGTTCCACTCATAGAACAAACACTGGCACAGATTAGTCACACCAATAAATATTTTGTTGAGTTAACGAATTTTTGATTTTCTGCTAATATGGTAAGTGGT